GAGGGAGGGTCATGGCAGGGGTGGCTCGGCCAGCTCCAGGTCTTGGCCGATTCCCCTGGGGCCAGCAGCGCAGGGGACCCGTGAGCCACCCACCCTCATGAGGGACTAAGGCTGGGGCAGCTGCCACGTCTCCCGACCAGCGGCACCCTCCAGGGAGAAAGGGCAAGCTGGCTGCTCTGCCACAGCCCCAGTGGGGGAAGAGAGATGTGCCACATGCGTGGAAGCGTTTTGGGGAGGAGCAGGCACCCCCCCACCGGCAGCCAAGGGATCGCTGTGGCTTCTGCTTTCAGGCCACTCTGGCATTTCTAAAACCTGACAAGCAGGAAAAAGAACTACTTTTTGGGGCCCGGTGTACTAAGTGAAGCCAGATCCTCGTGAGTCCGCTGGCTGTCTCCTCCTGGGAGCTGGAGAGGAGCAGGTTGGTTAAAGTGGCTGCTCCCCAGCGCCACGTTATGCCATGGCCGCTTGTGCCAGCAAGCCAAAAGCTGTCTGATGTAAACATGGCTTTTGTTTCCCAGGGAGCTGCTGTTGTATCCTCTGGTCTCTTTTCCCCAATAGCATAGAGATTTCAGCCCAGGCTGAGGCCAGGGACTGAGAAATGAGAGCAGTGGCTCCATCCCCTACCACAGCGCAGGGAAACAGCAGGGAAAGGTAGCCGGAGCAGGCTCTCCCTCCAGGACTGCAGCTATCACCAGCAGAGCCCTGCTCCAGGTGGGAATGGCACAGGCCGCTGTCCCCAGGCCAGGGACCTTGGGAGGCAACATGGAGAGCTCAGCTCTCTCCACCGGGGCTCCCACAGGGGGCCCAGACCTGACCCCGACTGCTCTCAGCTGCTGTGTACCCCCGCGCCTGGCCAGGCGAGCCGGCCGGGAGGGCGAGAGGCAGCCAGAACCAGCCTCCAGTGCAAGTTGAAGAGTCACAGCCTTTCCCCTAGTCCCTGCAGGCTGGACAGACAGCACCTGTGCACCTGCAGCTGGGGCCGAAGGGACCTCTCCTCCCAGAGCCAGCCCGGCTCAACAGACGCTTGCAGACCCCATGGTGGCCGGCAGAAGAGCCAGCAGTGGGGAGGAGGGCCGTGAACACCAAGGCGTGCTGACGGTAGTGAGCCACAGACAGCAAAAATAAATAAGAAGGCAGGTGACAAAGTGCGCTTACGCCCTGTCCCGAAAACAGCTGCTCCCCTGCCTCTTTCTGCCACTGGCAAGCGAGAGAGGAGCCAGCTAGCTCTCTGCACGCAACACCTTCCCAAGCAGAAGCGGCAGGGCAAGGATTAACTGTGCCAGCTGAATGAGGACATTTGCATTAAGTTAATTAAAAAAACAAAACAAAACAAAAAAACAACCAACCAAACAAAAGCCACCTCTACAAGTCCCGGACATATTTCCCTCTTTCCCAGATCTGCCCCAGTGAGTGAGTGTGTCGGGGACACTTTGGCAAAGCAGATACTTGGGCTGGACAGGGCACCAAGGGAAAATGTCAGCTCTGTCGCTTCCTTCTCCATCCCATTATCCCGCAGTTCAGAGAAACCCTCTCCTTACAGCTCCTGTTCGCACCCCGCACACCGGAGGGTCTGACGCCGCTGTCAGGACAGTTCCCAGCTTCATGAGTAGCAGGGCCAATACGCGTCCTTCCTCCAGCTGTCCGTTGCCTGTGTTTCTTCTCCAGGTTCCCTTTCACCCCTCAAAACCAGAAGGGTTTCAAAATAACGGAGTCAGACAACAAAGCCTTGCTGCTGGTTTTCTTTTTCCCTGGTCCACTGGCTAATTCACACACTGAGCTGACGTGATGCTTCCTCGTGCCTTCATCAAGAGCAAAGACATTTTGAGTCCCTCTTTATCCTCTCAGAGCACCAAATCCACACCCATTGACAAGTGCATAGCTGGCGGCTCTCAGCTGCCCTTACTTCACTTCCAGGATGGAGGGATTCGTCTCCATGATGGCCACAATGATCCTGTCAATGTAATCCTGCAGGCGGAAGTTGATCTCCTCTTGCTTCTGAATTGCTTCCATGAGCTGCAAGACAGGGAGAAAGAGAGCGAGCGGTCACCGCCTGCTGCTGCCCAGGGAGAGAAGCAGGGCTTCTCGCAGCTCTGTGTGCCCACGGAGGTATCCCCCTTCTTCATTCCGGCTTGTGCTATTCCTGGCCATGTATACGTGTTTCACAGCACAACTGCCAGGGACCCGATGGTTCAGCAATGACTCCTGCAGGCTCTGTAACACCCAGCTGAACCCCCTGCTCCCGCCCTATGGGATGCCTTTACCCCTGACAGGTCTCCCCTGACAGATGCTCCTGCATCCCCAGATCTCCAAACCGTGCAAGTGGGTGCTCGGCCACAGAAGCTAGAGCCCCAGGTCGGGAGCGCAGGCACGGCAGGCTGAGCCTGGCGCCCAGATGCCCAACTGCTAGAGGAACATGTACTGGTATCTCTGGGGCTCCCTCTAGCCTTTCTCTCTCCTTGAGCAGGCTCTAGCCCAAGATGAGGAGATGCCCTCAAGCTGCTGGCCCTGCTCACTCCTGTCCTTCCTCAATCTCTCAGCCAGATGGGACCTTGGACAAAGCAGGGAGCATCACATCTCCCTTTGGCCCCCAAAACACGTGTTTTCCCATTACACTTCCCAGGGTCCGAAAGATGTAATCAGGGGTACAGCCATGGAGCAGGGAGGCCACGTGCCAAAACAGATCTTAAAGAAGATCTTGGCTTTTTTAAGACAGCTACAGACAGACACACCCTGTGCTTGCTGGTCTGTCCCAGGAAGAGGAAGGCAGTCACAGAGCAGGCAAAGTAAAGCTGCCAGTATCAGCAAATTGGAAGGGAACAGCTTCCCCTATTCCCAGGAAGGAGGGCTGGCAGGCAGTGTAAGTCCTGCAAGCCCTTCAAATAGTTATGTGGGTATTTATTTGCTCAAAACAGCCTTCAAGTGAATTTTGGGAGTAAGCTGTACCACGGACAAGGCCACATCAGCTCCTCCCAGGCCCTCAGTTAGCTGAGAGGAGGTGTACCAGCCACCCCAGGAAGATGCAGTTTGAGGTAAGCTGTACCCTGTGGCACGTACCTCGTCTCTGGAGACCGAGCTGATCTCTGCTGCCAGGGATTCAGAGAAGGAGGCTGAGAAGAGGTTCTTGGCTCCCTGGATGCTCAAGTTAATGATCTGCCCATTCAGTTCATCGTTCTGCTCCTTCAGGTTCCTGTTATCCTGTTCACAACAGACAAACATCAGACGGTGCTGAAGCACATGGTGTCCCTACAGCAGAACTGGCCAGGGAAGGCAGGGGCTTTCATCCTAACCAGTAGCTCACACAGTGCTGCGAGCAGCACTCTGTCTCCCGACTCCAATTTGACAGAGTCTGGAGAACTCTGGAAACACACAATGTGCTGGGGAGATCCAGGGGACACAACAGAGAGAGGGGCTCTTGAGTATAAGTGCCATCCCTCAGAGGAAGAAGCCAACCTCTCCTGTCCCAGGACAGGAGAGCAAGAAAGCAGTGGGCTGCCAGATCCACAGTCAGCTCCTCAGGAGAGAGCCCCCAGGCCCCTGCTGACCACTCCTTGGTGTCAGGGAATTCGCATCCCCTTTTGTGGACCAAGCAGCCAATACACTTCCCTCCCTGCCCAGCCCCGCACACCTGCTTGAGCTGTTTGATCTCTTGCTCCAGCTCAGTCTCCCGCGTCCTGCTGTTGTACTCCTGGAGCCCCATGCTGCTGCTCCTGCCTCTTCGCTGCTCAGCTTCCAGTTTGAAGAGTTGCAAGTGCTCGAGCTGCTTCCTGAGGTCCTCAATGAGCTGCAGCACAAGGCAAGGAGACAACTGAGTGCCACATCCCCTGCAAGTCGAACAGCTTGCACTGGTCATGGCTGGTGTGAGAGATGGGCTGTCCCCAAGCTGAGAGAAACTCCACTGATTGCAGGATTAACAGACCCTTTCTGGGAGTGCACATAGCTTCCCCTTCCTCCCCCATGCCTCTAACAAACAGGAGAGGGGAAGCTACTTAACTACATGAGCGCAGCCCTGGAAGGACTTTGTTGGAGCATGAAAGATACTGGCTCCAGGTCTGCAGCAGCAGACAGACACCCCACCCCACCCCCCTCCCCCAGCAACATGGGCATCTGCTCAGGCAGCTCCCTCCTGCCACAGCACTGTGAATCCCATCTCACCCAACTGCTCTTAGCATTGCCAAAATGACAATAATTTCCACTTTAAGGCACAAAGCTCCTTTTCTGCCACAACAGCAAGCCCTACTTGAGCCGCCAGCTGGAATTACCAGCCACAGAGACACCTGGAAGGGGCCAGGGGGGCTGCATTTCTGCCCTGAAGCACAAAGGAGCTGGCAGCTCTGACTCAAGTAGCCTTGCAGCCCTCTCCTCCTGCCTGCTAACACCTGCTGGCTCCATGTGCCATTGTCACTGTGCTTCTGCCACTGCTCCTTTGATGCAGAAGAGAAACAGGCCCCGCAGCAATGGGCCAGGGTGGCACAGCCCCACTGCGTTTGTAGATGCAGACACGCTCAGCTGAATTTTAATGCAGGCAGAAGTGACAGATGTTATATAGTTACGCTGCTGTACTACCTTTCTCTGCCCAGATAGGACCAAATGCTCCAGTTATACCTATTTTTGGGAAGGCTGCCAAGGCCAGTTTCTCCGCATTGCCCTAATTTGGGGGACTAGCAGGACAGGACTGTGGCAGGCAGCCCCGACTCTACTTACCTCCTGCGTCGACTCCTTCTCCTTTTGAAATTGGTGCCTCTCCTGACTCAGCTTGTCCCCCATCTTCCTCTTTTTCTCCTGCTCCTCTGTGAGCTGCACAGTGAGGTCTTCGATCTCATCCAGCAGCTTCTGCTTCTCCTGTAACAACAGAAAAGGCAGCAGTCACAGGGCCCGTCTTCATTCAGCACTGCCAAGGCTCTTCCCACTTGCTCAAGGACACAGCACACGCTGAGCACTGCGGGGAAGGCTCTTCTTGCTGACGCATTCGGATGCTCTGCCTGCTGGGATCTCATTTGCTGTCTGCGGGCTTCAGAGCTTTGGCAGCAGCAAGAAGAGCCACACACCAAAATAGCACTGCTAAGAGAGAGATAATAAGAGATGACTCAAGAATAAATGCACACAGGCAAATATCCGCACTTGTGTGGCTTTCTGGGCAGCACAATGCTGGCATGGGACATGGCTTGGGTGGGACTGGGGCCAGCACAGGGGCTACAGGCCAAGAAGAGACATTAAAACATAAGGCTCCTTAGGTCTGAATTTCAGAAAAGCCATGAATCCAAGATCTTAAGCCACTCTACAGATACTCATTCTTGGTTTCAGATATGAAAGAATTTAACTGAGGACTGACCCAAGAAGGAGCATGACCAGTTCAAGCCAGGATGTAAAACACACAGCCCAACTCTCCCACTCTGTCCCCTTCTTATACTCAAAACCTTGGCTGAACATTTGAGATGGTAGGTAAAGGTTGTCACTTGGTGATGATGACAACAGCCCTGCACAGGACACCTCCCTGTACAGCAGCACCCTTCTGCCTATGACCAATTCACCCCCTCCCCTGGCTCACAGCTTCCGCAGCGCTCACAGAGCCGCAGCGCTCTCATGAAGGCCCAAAGACTGTGAGGGGATGAAATGCTTGAGGGCCTTCAGCTGGCCAGAGGTTTGATTTCACCTAAATTTTAACCTTACATCTGCCACAAGCTTGAACAGAAATGAAATACAGCCTTTGTATCAGATGTTACATCTGTAACCCACATTCTCTCCAAAAATGAGGATCTTGTCCATCCCATGAAGACTGTGGCACCTTGGCAAGCCTCCCACCCCGGCCCTGTCAGCAGCTACGTGGCCTTGAATCCTCTAGCAGGGTGTCCTGGTTTCGGCTGGGATAGAGTTAATTTT